AAGTATTTGTATTAATTACACTCTTGCAATAAAAAAAGTGAAAGTTTAATTTCTTTCTTATGTACTAAATTAAATTTTCATTTTTATAGTTCTTAAATTCTAATAATTTTTTTTTTACAGAATGACAGACGATATTTTTTATTTAAATTTAAAATTTAAAACTTTTTATATTAATTATACATATTTTGTATATAATTTTTTTCTATTTTAATTTATGATTTTTATATATATTTTTAATTGGTTATACATGTATATGTAAAAATTTTATGTTAAATATTTTTTTTAAAAATACATGTATATTATTTTAATTGGTTATACATGTATATTTAAAATTTTTATGTTAAAATTTTAATTTATTTTTAGTAAAGTATAAATTATGCCATTTCTTATTTTTTCTTTTAAATTTGAAATTTAAAATAATTTTTATCGACTATAAATGTATTTTTATAATTTTAAATATTTTATTGATTAATCTATAATTTTATATTAAATAAAAATTTATTATATATATCTTTTTTCACTGCATAAATATTAAATGCTGAACTCTTTTCTCACATATCAAGTTCACATAATTTTTCATTTAATATATTTCCCAATTTTGAATTTATTTAACAATATAAATAATTTTTTTATTTTACAACTTTTTTAATGTTTTTGTTTTTTCATGCAGCATTAATAGGGCTATCAATTATCCATGCAAAAAATAGTGGTATATACAACAAAAGAAAAGTATAGGTCTTTTTACTCGTAATATACAACAAAAGAAAAGTAGTGGGACATTAAATGAGTTGTCTGCCACACAAAATTTTCTAAAAGTTTTCCCATCATTACAAAGTTAAAAATTCAAATTTAAAATTCAAATTTAAACATAAATTCAAAATTTAGAAGAGTTGAAATCCAAAATTTGAAATCAATTCAGAATTCGAATTTCAAAAGAATGAGCAATTCCAATGCAAAAAGCATTTAAAAGAGCTGAGTAATTCCAATGTACAAATCAGTGGGACATTGAACGAGTTGTCTGCCACCATAAATGATTAACTTAATTTTTCATTGATTTTTTATTTTGATTTTTAAAATAAATTATTATTTATTTAATTTTTTATATCCAAATCCTTTCCCACCATTACAATTTGAAATTTAAAATTGAAATCCAAAATTTGAAATCAATTTAGAATTCGAATTTCAAAAGAGTGAGCAATTCCAATGTAGAAACCATTTAAAAGAGCTGAGTAATTCCAATGTACAAATAAGTGGGACATTGAATGAGTTGTCTGCCACCATAAATGACTAACTTAGTTTTCTATTGATTTTTTATTTCGATTTTTAAAAGAAATTATTATTTATTTAATTTTTTATTTTCAAATCCTTTACCAACATTACAATTTGAAATTTAAAATTGAAATCCAAAATATGAAATCAATTCAGAATTCGAATTTCAAAAGAGTGAGGAAATACACAGAAGAATTATCATTAAAAATCTTGTTCCTCTATGATTTCAACTTTCAAGGAATTACTCAGCTCTTTTAAATGCTTTCTACATTGGAATTGCTCACTCTTTTGAAATTCGAATTCTAAATTGATTTCAAATTTTGGATTTAAATTTTAAATTTCAAATTAAACTAAGAAAGGAAAAATTTATACATGAAAACACCACACCCATTTGTTAACATTTAAATTTTAACTTTTAATTTCTCAAACGATTAAATTTTTTATGACCATATTACAATTTTTAAATGACTTAAGCCGGTAAATTTTCAAATGGAATATTTAATCTCTCCGAGGTTTGAGCAGCTTCAATCATTTTTAAACACCGAATCCAGACAGGAAAATGATAAACGAGATTACTGCGGAACTCGCCAATCATGGAAATATTAAAATGTCTGTAATTTTCCAGAATAAGCGTGCTTAATTTATTGCAAATAATGTTAAACTAAATGGCCGGTTCATAGATAGCCGCTATCAAATGAAATAAAAGGGAAATTTGATTTCATTTACTCTCCATTTCGATTTTCTTCTCATTCCTTGAAAGTTGAAATCATTGATTTTTTTAATGAAATGAATTGATTTCATATTTTGGATTTCAATTTTAAATTTCAAATTGTAATGTTGGGAAAGGATTTGAAAATAAAAAATTAAATAAATAATAATTTCTTTTAAAAATCAAAATAAAAAATCAATAGAAAACTAAGTTAGTCATTTATGGTGGCAGACAAATTCAATGTCCCAAAAATTAAAAAGATTTTTAAATGCTTTCTACATTGGAATTGCTCACTAATTCGAATTCTAAATTGATTTCAAATTTTGGATTTAAATTTTAAATTTCAAATTAAACTAAGAAAGGAAAAATATTATACAATCATAGTCAATCATTCTTATAATCAAGTTTAATTTCTCAAGATTAAATCTGACCATAAGACAATCAAACTATTTTAAATGACTAATAAGTTCTTAATCTCTCCTCGAATTTCTAAGTTAGTTTTAAGTGTGAGGGAGCTCGAAATAGGGAGTAATTGAAGGTAAGAATGAGAGAGCGCTATTGTTATTATTAGTGGTAAGAAAGGAAACAAAGTTTAATTTCATAATTAAATTTGATTTCCAAATTTGATCGGACAATTTAATTTGTATTTTCAAATTAAAAATAATATCTTAAAATAAAAAGATTTATTTTTTGTAAACAACAACGTTGTCTTTGTTTGAAAAATGATGTAAAAAATTTCATAATGATAAAAAGAAAGTAGCTAGATTTCGAGGTTTGGTACTATCATGCACTGAAATAAGAACATTCCTGTGGAGTTTGGACTATAACAAGCCCTAACCATGTCCTTGATAATCTTACGTAGCGGACACAGCATCTAGTTGCTGCTTGCTAAGTGCTAACAGAAGCCCCCACCGGTAAGAACGGTTTCTTCTTTGTTAATTTTAACTTCGTTCATTATTTTCATTCATGTTTTCTCATGATAAGTAGTGTTTTCTTTTTTGTAATGAAAAAAAATTGAAATATTGAAGAGATGTCGAACGGCATGGGATTTCAGGAGCAGCATTCGAACCACAACGCGAACAACGCAGCAACGATGATGCGCGGGAATGTCTCCATGACCCAAAAACAAATCGAGACTCTGAGGATACAAATTGCTGCTTATGAAACCCTCTCTGAACAACTCGCTGAGAAGTACAGGGCACACCGTGCCGCTCGCCAAGCTCCTCCTCAAGGTCATTCCCTATTTTCTTCCATTCATCTTTTTTCACAATTTTATTTTTTTATCACTTATTATTCACCGTAATAAATTTTTTTTGTTATAGTAAGTTACCCATTCTAACCGTTTACATTCTAACCGTGTAACTGTAAACGGTTAGAATGTGTTAGGGTTGTTTCTGTTAAGAGTTTGTTACACTGGTCTGAGGCGGTTGTAACAAATATACTGAAACAAATGGGTGTGGTGTTTTCAGTGACGTCAGAGGTGGTTAAGCCGGTAAATATGTATGGAGGAGACACATCAAAGGGAATATTTAACATGAAGCCGAGGTGGAGTCCAACAACTGAGCAGCTTCAGATCATGGAGAAAATATTTAAGCAGGTGACACCGAATCCAGACAGGAAAATGATAAACGAGATTACTGCGGAACTCGCCAATCATGGAAATATTTCGGAGAAAAATGTCTGTAATTGGTTCCAGAATAAGCGTGCTCGGTCCAAGAAAAAACAGCCCAATGCGGTTATTGCAAATAATGTTAACACTAATGGCCGGTTGACATCAGGAGATAGCCGCTATCAAATGAAATAAAAGGGGAAATGCGCATTTACTCTCCATTTCGATTTTCTTCTCATTCCTTGAAAGTTGAAATCATAGAGGAACAAGATTTTTAATGATAATTCTTCTGTGTATTTCCTCACTCTTTTGAAATTCGAATTCTGAATTGATTTCATATTTTGGATTTCAATTTTAAATTTCAAATTGTAATGTTGGGAAAGGATTTGAAAATAAAAAATTAAATAAATAATAATTTCTTTTAAAAATCAAAATAAAAAATCAATAGAAAACTAAGTTAGTCATTTATGGTGGCAGACAACTCATTCAATGTCCCACTTATTTGTACATTGAAATTACTCAGCTCTTTTAAATGCTTTCTACATTGGAATTGCTCGCTCTTTTGAAATTCGAATTCTAAATTGATTTCAAATTTTGGATTTAAATTTTAAATTTCAAATTAAACTAAGAAAGGAAAAATATTATACAATCATAGTCAATCATTCTTATAATCAAGTTTAATTTCTCAAGATTAAATCTGACCATAAGACAATCAAACTATTTTAAATGACTAATAAGTTCTTAATCTCTCCTCGAATTTCTAAGTTAGTTTTAAGTGTGAGGGAGCTCGAAATAGGGAGTAATTGAAGGTAAGAATGAGAGAGCGCTATTGTTATTATTAGTGGTAAGAAAGGAAACAAAGTTTAATTTCATAATTAAATTTGATTTCCAAATTTGATCGGACAATTTAATTTGTATTTTCAAATTAAAAATAATATCTTAAAATAAAAAGATTTATTTTTATAAACAACAACGTTGTCTTTGTTTGAAAAATGATGTAAAAAATTTCATAATGATAAAAAGAAAGTAGCTAGATTTCGAGGTTTGGTACTATCATGCACTGAAATCATCCGTAATATATATATATTTTACAAAAAAAAAAAAGAATAATATAGAATCAATTCATAATCTTCACAAAATAATTTTAAAGCTGCAAGTATATATATATATTGTGTTGGACAAGAACATTCCTGTGGAGTTTGGACTATAACAAGCCCTAACCATGTCCTTGATAATCTTACGTAGCGGACACAGCATCTAGTTGCTGCTTGCTAAGTGCTAACAGAAGCCCCCACCGGTAAGAACGATTTCTTCTTTGTTAATTTTAACTTCGTTCATTATTTTCATTCATGTTTTCTCATGATAAGTAGTGTTTTCTTTTTTGTAATGAAAAAAAATTGAAATATTGAAGAGATGTCGAACGGCATGGGATTTCAGGAGCAGCATTCGAACCACAACGCGAACAACGCAGCAACGATGATGCGCGGGAATGTCTCCATGACCCAAAAACAAATCGAGACTCTGAGGATACAAATTGCTGCTTACGAAACCCTCTCTGAACAACTCGCTGAGAAGTACAGGGCACACCGTGCCGCTCGCCAAGCTCCTCCTCAAGGTCATTCCCTATTTTCTTCCATTCATCTTTTTTCACAATTTTATTTTTTTATCACTTATTATTCACCGTAATAAATTTTTTTTGTTATAGTAAGTTACCCATTCTAACCGTTTACATTCTAACCGTGTAACTGTAAACGGTTAGAATGTGTTAGGGTTGTTTCTGTTAAGAGTTTGTTACACTGGTCTGAGGCGGTTGTAACAAATATACTGAAACAAATGGGTGTGGTGTTTTCAGTGACGTCAGAGGTGGTTAAGCCGGTAAATATGTATGGAGGAGACACATCAAAGGGAATATTTAACATGAAGCCGAGGTGGAGTCCAACAACTGAGCAGCTTCAGATCATGGAGAAAATATTTAAGCAGGTGACACCGAATCCAGACAGGAAAATGATAAACGAAATTATTACTGCGGAACTCGCCAATCATGGAAATATTTCGGAGAAAAATGTCTGTAATTGGTTCCAGAATAAGCGTGCTCGGTCCAAGAAAAAACAGCCCAATGCGGTTATTGCAAATAATGTTAACACTAATGGCCGGTTGACATCAGGAGATAGCCGCTATCAAATGAAATAAAAGGGGAAATGCGCATTTACTCTCCATTTCGATTTTCTTCTCATTCCTTGAAAGTTGAAATCATAGAGGAACAAGATTTTTAATGATAATTCTTCTGTGTATTTCCTCACTCTTTTGAAATTCGAATTCTGAATTGATTTCATATTTTGGATTTCAATTTTAAATTTCAAATTGTAATGTTGGGAAAGGATTTGAAAATAAAAAATTAAATAAATAATAATTTCTTTTAAAAATCAAAATAAAAAATCAATAGAAAACTAAGTTAGTCATTTATGGTGGCAGACAACTCATTCAATGTCCCACTTATTTGTACATTGAAATTACTCAGCTCTTTTAAATGCTTTCTACATTGGAATTGCTCACTCTTTTGAAATTCGAATTCTAAATTGATTTCAAATTTTGGATTTAAATTTTAAATTTCAAATTAAACTAAGAAAGGAAAAATATTATACAATCATAGTCAATCATTCTTATAATCAAGTTTAATTTCTCAAGATTAAATCTGACCATAAGACAATCAAACTATTTTAAATGACTAATAAGTTCTTAATCTCTCCTCGAATTTCTAAGTTAGTTTTAAGTGTGAGGGAGCTCGAAATAGGGAGTAATTGAAGGTAAGAATGAGAGAGCGCTATTGTTATTATTAGTGGTAAGAAAGGAAACAAAGTTTAATTTCATAATTAAATTTGATTTCCAAATTTGATCGGACAATTTAATTTGTATTTTCAAATTAAAAATAATATCTTAAAATAAAAAGATTTATTTTTATAAACAACAACGTTGTCTTTGTTTGAAAAATGATGTAAAAAATTTCATAATGATAAAAGAAAAGTAGCTAGATTTCGAGGTTTGGTACTATCATGCACTGAAATCATCCGTAATATATATATATTTTACAAAAAAAAAAGAATAATATAGAATCAATTCATAATCTTCACAAAATAATTTTAAAGCTGCAAGTATATATATATATATATATATATATATATATATATATATATATATATATATATATATATATATATATCTTGGACAAGAACATTCCTGTGGAGTTTGGACTATAACAAGCCCTAACCATGTCCTTGATAATCTTACGTAGCGGACACAGCATCTAGTTGCTGCTTGCTAAGTGCTAACAGAAGCCCCCACCGGTAAGAACGATTTCTTCTTTGTTAATTTTAACTTCGTTCATTATTTTCATTCATGTTTTCTCATGATAAGTAGTGTTTTCTTTTTTGTAATGAAAAAAAATTGAAATATTGAAGAGATGTCGAACGGCATGGGATTTCAGGAGCAGCATTCGAACCACAACGCGAACAACGCAGCAACGATGATGCGCGGGAATGTCTCCATGACCCAAAAACAAATCGAGACTCTGAGGATACAAATTGCTGCTTACGAAACCCTCTCTGAACAACTCGCTGAGAAGTACAGGGCACACCGTGCCGCTCGCCAAGCTCCTCCTCAAGGTCATTCCCTATTTTCTTCCATTCATCTTTTTTCACAATTTTATTTTTTTATCACTTATTATTCACCGTAATAAATTTTTTTTGTTATAGTAAGTTACCCATTCTAACCGTTTACATTCTAACCGTGTAACTGTAAACGGTTAGAATGTGTTAGGGTTGTTTCTGTTAAGAGTTTGTTACACTGGTCTGAGGCGGTTGTAACAAATATACTGAAACAAATGGGTGTGGTGTTTTCAGTGACGTCAGAGGTGGTTAAGCCGGTAAATATGTATGGAGGAGACACATCAAAGGGAATATTTAACATGAAGCCGAGGTGGAGTCCAACAACTGAGCAGCTTCAGATCATGGAGAAAATATTTAAGCAGGTGACACCGAATCCAGACAGGAAAATGATAAACGAGATTACTGCGGAACTCGCCAATCATGGAAATATTTCGGAGAAAAATGTCTGTAATTGGTTCCAGAATAAGCGTGCTCGGTCCAAGAAAAAACAGCCCAATGCGGTTATTGCAAATAATGTTAACACTAATGGCCGGTTGACATCAGGAGATAGCCGCTATCAAATGAAATAAAAGGGGAAATGCGCATTTACTCTCCATTTCGATTTTCTTCTCATTCCTTGAAAGTTGAAATCATAGAGGAACAAGATTTTTAATGATAATTCTTCTGTGTATTTCCTCACTCTTTTGAAATTCGAATTCTGAATTGATTTCATATTTTGGATTTCAATTTTAAATTTCAAATTGTAATGTTGGGAAAGGATTTGAAAATAAAAAATTAAATAAATAATAATTTCTTTTAAAAATCAAAATAAAAAATCAATAGAAAACTAAGTTAGTCATTTATGGTGGCAGACAACTCATGACTTATTTGTACATTGAAATTACTCAGCTCTTTTAAATGCTTTCTACATTGGAATTGCTCACTCTTTTGAAATTCGAATTCTAAATTGATTTCAAATTTTGGATTTAAATTTTAAATTTCAAATTAAACTAAGAAAGGAAAAATATTATACAATCATAGTCAATCATTCTTATAATCAAGTTTAATTTCTCAAGATTAAATCTGACCATAAGACAATCAAACTATTTTAAATGACTAATAAGTTCTTAATCTCTCCTCGAATTTCTAAGTTAGTTTTAAGTGTGAGGGAGCTCGAAATAGGGAGTAATTGAAGGTAAGAATGAGAGAGCGCTATTGTTATTATTAGTGGTAAGAAAGGAAACAAAGTTTAATTTCATAATTAAATTTGATTTCCAAATTTGATCGGACAATTTAATTTGTATTTTCAAATTAAAAATAATATCTTAAAATAAAAAGATTTATTTTTATAAACAACAACGTTGTCTTTGTTTGAAAAATGATGTAAAAAATTTCATAATGATAAAAAGAAAGTAGCTAGATTTCGAGGTTTGGTACTATCATGCACTGAAATCATCCGTAATATATATATATATTTTACAACAACAAAAAAAAGAATAATATAGAATCAATTCATAATCTTCACAAAATAATTTTAAAGCTGCAAGTATATATATATATATATATTGTCTTGGACAAGAACATTCCTGTGGAGTTTGGACTATAACAAGCCCTAACCATGTCCTTGATAATCTTACGTAGCGGACACAGCATCTAGTTGCTGCTTGCTAAGTGCTAACAGAAGCCCCCACCGGTAAGAACGGTTTCTTCTTTGTTAATTTTAACTTCGTTCATTATTTTCATTCATGTTTTCTCATGATAAGTAGTGTTTTCTTTTTTGTAATGAAAAAAAATTGAAATATTGAAGAGATGTCGAACGGCATGGGATTTCAGGAGCAGCATTCGAACCACAACGCGAACAACGCAGCAACGATGATGCGCGGGAATGTCTCCATGACCCAAAAACAAATCGAGACTCTGAGGATACAAATTGCTGCTTACGAAACCCTCTCTGAACAACTCGCTGAGAAGTACAGGGCACACCGTGCCGCTCGCCAAGCTCCTCCTCAAGGTCATTCCCTATTTTCTTCCATTCATCTTTTTTCACAATTTTATTTTTTTATCACTTATTATTCACCGTAATAAATTTTTTTTGTTATAGTAAGTTACCCATTCTAACCGTTTACATTCTAACCGTGTAACTGTAAACGGTTAGAATGTGTTAGGGTTGTTTCTGTTAAGAGTTTGTTACACTGGTCTGAGGCGGTTGTAACAAATATACTGAAACAAATGGGTGTGGTGTTTTCAGTGACGTCAGAGGTGGTTAAGCCGGTAAATATGTATGGAGGAGACACATCAAAGGGAATATTTAACATGAAGCCGAGGTGGAGTCCAACAACTGAGCAGCTTCAGATCATGGAGAAAATATTTAAGCAGGTGACACCGAATCCAGACAGGAAAATGATAAACGAGATTACTGCGGAACTCGCCAATCATGGAAATATTTCGGAGAAAAATGTCTGTAATTGGTTCCAGAATAAGCGTGCTCGGTCCAAGAAAAAACAGCCCAATGCGGTTATTGCAAATAATGTTAACACTAATGGCCGGTTGACATCAGGAGATAGCCGCTATCAAATGAAATAAAAGGGGAAATGCGCATTTACTCTCCATTTCGATTTTCTTCTCATTCCTTGAAAGTTGAAATCATAGAGGAACAAGATTTTTAATGATAATTCTTCTGTGTATTTCCTCACTCTTTTGAAATTCGAATTCTGAATTGATTTCATATTTTGGATTTCAATTTTAAATTTCAAATTGTAATGTTGGGAAAGGATTTGAAAATAAAAAATTAAATAAATAATATAGTCATTTATGGTGGCAGACAACTCATTCAATGTCCCACTTATTTGTACATTGAAATTACTCAGCTCTTTTAAATGCTTTCTACATTGGAATTGCTCACTCTTTTGAAATTCGAATTCTAAATTGATTTCAAATTTTGGATTTAAATTTTAAATTTCAAATTAAACTAAGAAAGGAAAAATATTATACAATCATAGTCAATCATTCTTATAATCAAGTTTAATTTCTCAAGAAGTTAAATAATTTCTTTTAAAAATTGAAAATAAAAATGAGAAGAGCGGTCTATTGTTATTATTAGTGGTTAAGAAATATGGAAACAAAAAGTTTAATTTCAACAACTAATTAAATTTGATTTCCAAATTTACTGCGGAACTCGCCAATCATGGAAATATTTCGGATAATTTGTATTTTCAAATTAAAAATAATACTTAAAATAAAAAATAAAAGATTTATTTTTCTTCTCATTCCTTGAAAGTTGAAATTTTTTTAATGATAATTCATTTCCTCACTCTTTTGAAATTCAACAATTGATTTCATATTTTGGATTTCAATTTGTTGGGAAAGGATTTGTAAAAAATTTAAATAATAATTTCTTTTAAAAATCAAAATAAAAAATAGAAAACTAAGAGTCATTTAGGTTTGGCAAAACTCATTCAATGTCCCATTATTTGTACATTGAAATTACTCAGCTCTTTTAAATGCTTTCTACATTTGAATTGCTCACTCTTTTGAAATTCGAATTCTAAA